GCTACGTGTTGCCAATGTCAGTGTATTCAGCAGGACAGCTTAGCTCAGAAACTGACTTGTGGGCCCAGAGTGATAGTATAAGAGGGTTTAAGAGTTTGCCTGGCACTCCGCTGATCCCCAGCATCCCATATGATCTCCCAAGCACCACCAGAAGTAATTTTTTTTCTTGCTTTTTGGGTCACACCCGGCAATGCACAGGGGTTACTCCTGGCTCATGTACTCAGGAATTACTCCTAGCGGTGCTCAGGGGAAAATATGGGATGTTGGGAATTGAACCCGGGTCAGCTGCGTGCAAGGCAAGTGCCCTACCCACTGTGCTATAGCTTCAGCCCCCAGAAGTAATTCTTGAATACACTGAACAAAGAGTCAAGAGTAACCCCTGAGCACCGCAGGGTGTGGCCTACAAACAAAACTGACTTGTCAGAGTCTAAGGATGTCCATCCAATCTCTCTCCTCCTTGGGCTACTGGAACGAGACATGTCCAGGAAAGAGTCTCCTGAAAGCTAAAGTCCTCTCCTAGAGTCGTTCACTTTTCTTATCTCTGTTCTCAAGCCTAGGCTGGTCACAGCAGCAACAACCCCATACTTGGGACGGAAATTAGTATTTCTTTCTTTGGAATCAGATGACTCTGGACTGAGATCCCACTGGTTCAAGGGAATAAGGTTCATTTCAGTGGGGGGGGGGATGGGCGACACCTGATGGTGCTCAGGGGTTACTCCTAGCTCTGGACTGAGAAATTACTCCTGGTGGTGCTCAGGTGTTCACGTGGGATGCTGGGGATCCAACCTGGGTCAGCTGTATGCAAGGCATATGCCCTCCCCACTGTACTCAGACCCTGGGAATGAGGCTCAGTGAAGGGCAATATTTTGGGTTTAGAGTAACTCCCCTTCCCTCACCTTGCCTCTCAGAACCACACAGGTCAATCCCATCCTCAGCCCTCCTTCTCCTCCCCTCGCTTCTTCTCTCCCAGAGGGGCTTCCTGGACCTGGTAGACCACACCATCCTATCTGGTCTCCACCCCCGGCTCATTAATGGGAGACCCCAGTGTGTGGCTGCCCCTCTTACTCTTTTGCGCCAGTGCCCTGGTGGGCCCCTGGTGGCCCTCACCATCCAGGTCAGCAGGTGGGGTTCTGGGGCAGAGGGTGAAGGGGAGCCTTATACACCCTCAGGACAAAGGAAAGTTCGCACCTTTTTAATGGTGCCATTCCAAGTGCCCAAAACGACATGTCATCTCATCCTACTGGTTTGCTTATCCTCTAGTTGCTGTGCTTTATGTTCTTACTGGCTATCTTGATGGAAAGGTTTTAATGTTTAATATCACAACCGTGCTGTGACATGAACTTCCAAATCCACTTCCAAATCCACTCTCCTAAGGCCTCAACCATTCAATCATGTTCCCAAGAGCTGAACTTCTCACCGCTGTGGGAGCAGCCGGAACACCCTCCTGTTTTCCCCCTCCCGCTGCTACACAGCAGGGCTTTCGCTTGCTGTTCTCCACTCCCCATGCCTGCTTCCACCCTGCACTATCTGATCTATCAGAACTACCTGAATTATCCTGATCTCAACCGGAAACATTCTTGGTGCTTACTCAATGCAGTGAAATTCATGGGCATAAATTGATTTAATCTTCAAAATAATCCAAGGAACAAGGGATTAGGCGCACCAAGGTCATTGGGATGCGTCGTCTGAGTCACAGAGGTTGATTAACTTTTTCAAGGACGCACAGCAAGGGAGTGAACCATCTGACTTGGGCCCGTGGACTCAGTGAAGGGGTGCACTTTTCGTCCCGCTTTTGCCTGACTCTCGCCTTCTTCTGTGCCCCTGAATCCAGCTCACTCAGAAACCCGGTGCAGATAGCCCCATCTTCCTCCCCAGAGACCCAGCTGAGGACTGGCTTCTGGTCAAGACCTGGGTGTGCCACTCCGAGTTCCTGATGGCCACTCACCTGCTCTGCACTCACTTTGTGATGGAGGTCTTTTTTCTTCCTATGTTGTGGCAGCTGCCCATGTGCCATCTTCAAGGTAAGGGGGAACCCTTCCTCTCAGTGCCTGGGGCCATGGGACTCCTAGAGCTCCCACATATAACCTCTGACCCTGGACCTTCCCAGTTGCTCATTCCTCATTTCCGTTATGTCTTCCACATGAACATCTTGGCTCGTACGGGGCTCCTAGGAAACTAACAGACCAAGTAACGGCCCCCAAGGCGAGGGCTCCTGGGGGTGGGTAAAAGGCCGAGGGAGAGGCTGGAGTGGTCACCCAGCCCTCTGTCCCTGGCAGATTCTCTGCTCATTTATAGTCTACATCGCTGGGATGGACAGGCTGCCTGGAGCTGATGGCCAGAGGGCTGGAAACTGTCACCTATCGTTCCCTCTGCCTACCCCACCAGCTGGCCGACCGCAAGGTGCAAGACTTCGCCACTACTACTACAGAGATGATGGGCTCCAGATCTGGGCCTCCATCAAGAGGTTAAGTTCACCTGAAGACACTGAGCCTTGCTCTGGCTCCTTCTCTATGGGTTTATTCAGTCACTTTCCCCCACTCTGCCGCAAATCACCAGCCCCTTCCTACCCCACTCATGCCTAGACGTGGAAGCTTGGGCAAGTCACTTAACCTCTGTTTCTTCACCTGAAAGCAGGGATAGTAAGAGGATACACCTCAGAGGTTAATTTTAGGGCAAAGCCCTAAGAAGCAACCTCAGCTAAACAGAAAGTGCTCTCAGCATTGACTTTCAGTGGTGTTCAGCCCTCAGATAGCCTCTATGTCTGTAGATTTTCCTTCTGAATCTTCCTCATAAAGATACTTTATATGGCCCTCTGACCTCCTTCCCTGTGGCCAGATGTTCTTGATGCCTGGTCTCCTTGTGGGTCCCTATCTCCTGTCATTAACCTGCCTAGTGACGGTCTCCAAGCACTGGGCTCCACAAGCAGCACTGTCACCAGCCTCCTAGGGCTCAGTGTTTGCACGTAGAATGCTGCACTCCCCAAAGGGTCTCAGCTCCCTCTGGAAGTTGCTCTTCCCTTTCCATCCTTTATTAGCACCCTCTGTGGCTTGGGAGGCCAGGCATCCTGATGTCCCTCTCTTCCTGTCTCGCCACTGCCCCTTCAAGCCCAGCTCATAAGCTCCCCTTTAAGTCTTCAGAGACTACCCCATGCGAATCCTGCTGTAGCAATGGTTATACACACCCTCCCCAACTCTGCATGGGTGTGGAAAGCAGGGCAAACCCAACTTTGTCTTTCCTTTTGGAACGAGTAGGAAAGATGACCTAGGTTCACCAGTCCAGCACCGCGCCTAAGCTCTCCTTGGGATCTGATCAGGCTCAGAAGGCTGGAATAAATGCATGGCCAAGCAGACAGCAGAGCGCTAGGTGGGTAACGAGGATGACAGAATAGCCACCCAGCTCTGGTTCTAGCCAGTTCTTTAGATTTTTTCGGGAGAAAAACAAGTTTTCTGATATTTAAATATTGGCTATTGATTCAAATTGAAAAGAAATCAACATAAAACCTGATCAAAACACTTCTCCAAACCAAATGAAGCCCGCAGGCTGGGGCGGCATACTCAGTGGGGTTCCATGCCTCTGAGTTTGAAGACTCAGCAAGCTATTTTCCCTTTGTGGGAAGTTCCATGGCCAGCTGATCAGTAGCCTCTCCCAGTTCATATATGTGGGCAGCATCGGCCCCTGATTATGAGTCATCAAGTTTTCCTGGGCCCCAGCTTCATGTCCAACATTGTTGACATCTGTTATCCTGACGACAGGCTGTGTGCGAGGATTTGGAGCTGCAAGCATGGCTCATGGAGATCTTCCAGGAGGGTTTTCTAGGCTGCCACAGTTCAGGTGAGGTGTTTACTCCTGTCTCTTGTCCTCAAGACCCAATTGTCCAGGGTATCCATCCCTTGGGGTTCAGGTCTGTGTTCTGCACCTGTCCCCCATCTAGAGGTTCCTTCTGCCCTGGAGAGCTGTGCGGGTCTTACCCAATAACCTCACCATGGTCATCTCTGACTGCTCAGCCTAGCACGCTGCCATCAACAACAGCTAGGTGAGCCAGCCCAGAGCTGAGGGGCTCACCCAGATTCCAGGCCTTGCAGGAGCACTGAGCTTACTCAGTTTTGGGGGGTAGGGGATGTCAGTTTGAATTCAGTGCCTGGATGCCCAATATTCCTACAACCATGCGGCTACCACCACCCACCGCCAAAGGCCAGAAACACCTGGTGGACTCACTCCCTGAGGTCAATGCCACCTGCCACACCCCAGTGCTCCTCTGGGGTGTCACTAATGAGAACAAGAACACAGTAAGTAAGGCCCAGAGTGGAGGAGGGCTCAGATTCCAAGACATTGAATGTGGGGTGCTGAAAATGGGTCCCCTGGAGGGTACACTTCGCAGACTGGGCTTCTGGGTGTGGAGCCCTAGGTGGCTGGGGGGAGGGGCTTTGAGTAGCATGGGTTCCTGTAGCTGCAGAGCATGGTTCAGTGGGGGCTGGGGGCAAACTGGATTCGGATAGGGTGGTCCACTGGTGGACCAGTAGTTAGTGTTTCTAGGTGGGCGGGTCTTGGATGATCTGTGGGGCAAGGCAGAGAATTTTCTGGCGGGTTAGGGCCCTCGGGTAATCTACTAGGTAATCTAGGTGCCTGGGTGGGGGAATTTGGACCTATCAGAGTCCGCTAGGTTGAAAACCCAAGGTTGCAGCCTTCTCCCCTGTGGTTCACTCAGAGCGAGGCCTGGGCACCTACCGGGATGAGCACTTCACAGAGGAGGCCCCACGCCAGAGCATCGCTGCCTTCCAGAGCCGCCTAGCCCATCTCTCCGGCGACATCTTCAAGAGGAACCGGAACCTGGTGTTGCCCTACACCCTCCTAGATCCGTGCAGGTGGAGAACAGCATCGCAGTGTGAGCGCGCCTACCCCGCCGCCCACCGCTGCCCCTCCCCCTCCCAGTAAGAGGCCACACGAAAAGACCCGGGCTTGTGTTTAAGTGGGGATTTGGGGGGTTAAGTGTGGGGGGGGCGCTAAATGGAGATGCTGTTCTCAATGAGCACTGGGTCCAGATAGTAGTAGGGGATGGGCAGGCACTTGTTGCGCTGGCGGATGTTCTGGGAGATGAGCGTCAGGCGCTGGCGGAGGGTCTCCATGCTCCTCCGCGGAACCTCCTCCACGAAGTGGATGTCTGGGAAGTGGCCCAGCGGCCTCTGTGGGCCAACACAGCAGCTGGCACCGAGTGGCGGCCAGCCGGCCCTCTGCCCTCCCCTAGAGCAGCCTGGCTGGCCACCCTTGGCACCTCCTTCCTGTTACTGGCTCCCAGCCCCCAGCAAGCTCCCCCACCCTGACACCTGTACCCTGAGGGTTCCCCAGCACCTTGTCGTCGGGCTCACGGCTGAGCGTCCAGAGCACCAGCAGGATGATGCATGTGGTCTTCACGTCAGGCAGAGTGTCCATAAACGTCTCTAGTGTGGTCAGCCCCTTGGCCTGCATTGGTGGGTTCCGCATGGAAGACGGGAAATTGGGCATCCATGAGGTGTATTCTAGCTGCAGGGGAAACGGAGGGTTTGGAGTCAGACAGCACCCCAGGTCTAACTTTGTCACTTGCAACTGTGATGGTAGCTAGGCCTGGAGTTGAGACCAATGGTGGAGCTGGACTGGGAGTACGGGGTGGGGGTGGGGTGGGGGCATGGGGGGTGATACTGGGTTTGAGATGGGGGCTGGAACGAAGTCTCCTCAGGCCAGATGCTGGGGCAGGACTGGAAAGCACTGGTACCTGCCCTGTGTTGACAGCTGCATGCTTGGCAGAGCAGGTGTAGATGACAATGGTGATGTAGCGGATCAGCTCAGGCACCGTCCGCAAGCAGGTGGGGAAACCTGAGGGGGGCGGGAAGGCCAGGCAGCATCAGTCCTGCCCTGGGCCTAGCACAGCCCCCCCCACACACACACCCTCTATCCCAGTGGCCACCTCCTACCCCTCATCCTGCCTATCTGGCCCCCCAGTGGGTACACCCTAACTCATACTCAACCCAGCTCAATTGGTCTTGGCCAGGAGTCCTCTGAGGCTCCTCCAGGCACCTGCCTGAGCATGGAGGGACCTGAAACCTCTGCTCCAACTCCCTGACGGAGCCTCTCTGCTCCCAGGTCTCGGGGCAGTGGGGAAAGGCCCACCCTTTCTATAAGAATGTACACGCCAGTTGGCTCTATGTCACACACAGTCCAGCGGTTCCTTTTTCTTTCCTGTGGCCACACTGAGCAACCAGTCTTGTTGCCATGGTGACCCCGGGTTTCAAACTTTCCTCCACCTCCCGAAATTGCTTGCCCTCTAAGCTGTTAACTCCCGCCCCAAGGCAAAAGCCCAAAGCCTGGGCTTCATCCAACCCCCACACCAAACCCCAACTAGTCACCAAAGACTGATGTGTCTCCCACCCTGATATCTCTGGAATTAATGTCATTTCCACAGGCCCCCTCTACTCAGGTCCCTGTCCCCTCCCTCTTAGACATCACAGCAGATTCCCAAATGCTCTCCCTACTGGAGCCACCTAATTGTCCACAGAGACGTCACATCAGCTTGTCACTTCTTCTGGTGCTGAGTGACTCCAAACAACCTGACCAGTCTGAGCAAACCACCCTTGCTTGAGCGTTGGCCTTAACCCTGCCAGAATCCTGAGCCAGGACAGGGCCTGTCAGCAGCAAAAGAACTCACTGTGCTGCTCCAGCTCTCACACCTTCCCATGGGGAGCTCTCCAGCTCACCTCTCTCTCATGCTCACCCTCATACCCTACAGATCTTACCTAGAGTCTAGCCAAAGTATTAGGCTTCAACTGGATCTTAGCTGTCTGCTACCCACCTCCACTCTCTGCCTACCACTTCTGGCCCCTTGTGACCCCACTCAGGTATCCCCCAAACTAGGCCAACACTGCTAGAGTAGAACTGCCACCTTCCTTGGGCAGACCACCCCAGGGGCTTGAGGGAAGCTCTTTACCATCATGTTGCTCTGGCCTCCCCAGTCACTAAATATTTGCTGAGTTAATGAACACCCAAGTGGAATGTCCCTCAACCCCGGCACAGCCTCCCTCAGTCTCAGCACCAACATCCCTCTCCTGGTTGAGCTCACAGCCACAAATGTTTGTTTCTTGGGTAGGGAATGTCGCCCCTTCAAGTCTGACATCCCAAGAGATAGTCAGGGATCAAAAGACTGCCATGCTCACAAAGTCCCCTGCTCCAGGCTCAGGAGGCCCATCAGAATCCCAGCTCTAGGTCACAGAGATGCTCAGATCGTGGAGGACATGCTGAGGACCAGGCCAGGTTCAAGCCCTGGCCTCTCATGTTTCCTCCGCAACATTAAGACTGACCCATGTTTGAGCCCCAGCATCTCGTGGTCCCCCCACACCACCAAGGCTGACTGCTGAGCCCCCAGCTGTGAGGGGCTTTCCCCAGAAGGAAACCCTAGGACAGTGGCTTTCCTCCACTTCACCGGGAGACAGGCTCCAGTGCCCCTGGACTGGCCCACCCCATCCCCAGTCCCTTGTGAGTGCCTCGAGGCCTAATGTCATACCTGAGCTCTCCCGTCCCAGCAGGCACTCCTTGAATATCTCCTGCACCCAAGACTGCAGTTCCGAGTCAGCCTCCACGGCTGCATCACACGGGTAATAGTAGGTGATGATCTCAGTCACATACCTAAGTAGGGGACAGAACATCCCTATGAACCCTCCCCAACCCTGCTTTTTCCACTTCTCCCAGAAGACCGTGGCCATAGCTCACCCAGATCAGCATCAGGCCTGCGTGTGGGCAAGAAGTATGGGCAAAAGTGGCCGGTGGCCTGGCAAGGTCAGATTAGGGAGTACTCCCCCAAAGTACTCCCTGATTAGGGCCAGGGGGTCTCCCTGGGCAGCTCAGATTCCAGAAAGGGTCAGGCTGATGGAGAAGGGCTAGAGCCAAAGCATCACAGGGCCCAGAGATGCTCAGATGTGCTCAGAGACCCTCAGATGTGAACCCCTGTGGCAGACACCCAGCCCGGGTCTCTGAAGCTCCCATCCCATCCTCAGTATCTCAAGGTGTCCGCCCAAGTGCCACCCGCTGCTGCCCCAATCTCACCTCTCCAGGGCATCCCACACTGCCAGGCAGTCGTCGCGGTAATAATATTCTGGCAGGTCCTGAACCCCGCGCTCCACAAAGTCATTGGGGAGGTAGAGGCTGTCGTAGGTGATCTCTGACAGAGCCCGAACCATCACCTCAGCGAAGCCCTCCAGGCCCAGGGACATGCCCTTCAGGGAGGAAGCAAACCCTGGGTCCACAGTCCCTGCGAGTTCCCTTGAGGAAGGCTGCATCCCCCTCAAGACCCAGAACTCCTCACCCTCCACATAGTGAGACCAGCTCCGCCACTGCCCTTGTAGATATGACTCCCTCCCCTAATGACTCCTTTCCCCACACCCGTCCTGAGGCAAGTGGGAAGTTCTGGTCTCAATCTAAAGGCAAAGGTCAAAAGGAAGTCTTACCCTGGCAGAGAGCCCCCCCTCATTGAGTAGGAGGGCCCGCCCAATGCTGTTGATTTGAATGGTATATCTCGTGTGAGGGATGAGGAGCTGTGGAGAGAAAGCAGAGAGCAAGAGGAAGAGATCGACGTTAGCAGGGCAAAAGCATGCATACAGGGAGTAGGGCGCCCTGAACGCAGCCTGATCACCATCTTTACATGGCCACCAGAGGAGTACCCCTGGGCCATCCCTGGCTCTGCATAGCCTTCTCAGCCCCTTACACTGGACTGGGTCTGCTGAGAATCACCAAGAGTGGCCCTGAGGCCTTTGAATACCACTTGAGAGGCCCCACAACAAACACAAAATAAATTGAAATTAGTTCCCAAAGAACCTCAGCATCCCTGTTTTGAAAACAACCCTCACATTAGGAAACCCTCCTCCCCTGTGCCCTCTGCTGTGAGTCCTCTGCTGCCTCCCCATGGGTAACAAGAGCCCATGAGGGCTGGAGGACCCATCACATACCTTGTAGAGGGGGTGGCACATGGGAAGCTGCCTCAGGACAGCTAGACAAAAGGCCTCAGCCATGAGGTGGGTCTCCAGCAGGTGGGAGATGGCCTCATGGCAGTAGAACTCCGCATAGCGCACCCATGTCTTGGCCAGCAGCCAGTCCCACTCAGAGTCACTGGGCAGGAAAATGGGGCAATCAGGTCCTGGGGTCTGACTTAGCTGGGATAGAAGAAAAGGGAGTATTAGATGAGGACAGAAAAACCAACACAAATACCCTGATTTGCAGGAAGCAGAGGGGAGTCTAAGGAAACTGCACCCCTAAATCCTGCCCCTCGGTTCTCTATGCTCTTCCTAGTTTGGATTTGACCCTGGAGGATATCTGGAACTGAAGCACCTTAATTTCTTTTTCTGTCAAACCTTGGGTCTTCTCAAGGCAGTGTGATGAACCAGTACTGGGAGCATGGCCTGGTCACCACAGAGGTTGATTTACCAAATGGTTGGATGAACAGAGTCATCCAAGCAAACACCCATCTGGCCCCTACCGTGCGTAGACACACACTGGACACAGGGGTATAGACCAGTGCACTACTGGGTACTCAGGATCCTGCACAGCAAAGGCACAGTGGTGGCAGTCCACAGGTGTGTACACCGAAGGACACACAGGGCTCAACCCAAGGGTCACACGCCTGGCCACATGCCAGGCTCGGGCCACCCACACAGACAGAAGTGTCTGTAAACATGGGAACATTACCAGAAGCAACCATGTGGACATGCATACCTATCCACAGATATGCATGCACACTCCTCCAGGCCACTGACTCCTACAGATACATCAATCTCACACGCACACACAAGCTGACCTGGTGACCTCTCAGAGACACACCTGGCCCCACATTCACCCATTTACATGCATTCATGTATGCACACAGGCCCATGAACAGAGCTCACACAGGGGCCAAGGCCAGCACCCCAGGCACCTGGATGGCGATGGGCATCAATTTCCCTTCTGAGCCAAAGTGCAGCAGGCAGAGGGGGGCACAGTGGTGCTGTTTCTGACCGCTGAGCTCCACGGTGGGGATGCCTTCCAGGATCCGGTAGTCGGCCAGGTAAATGTTCCCCTTCTGGAAGGGAGCTGGCGTGAGTAGGCACCAAATAGGAGCACCAGCATCCCAAACCGTGACTGCAGAGTTCCCTAGCCCCCTCCTCATACAAGTGGCCCTGCGGGTGGGGGGAGTGCAGAGGTGGGGGAAAAAGGGGGGTTCGCGGGGGTGGGGAGGCAAGAAGGCAGTGGAGGTCTCCGCAAGTGAAAGCCTCACCTCTAGCTCTGCTTGCAGGCACGTCCCCTCACCCAGTAAAGGGCCCACCATGTCATCTGTCACGGGGAACTTGTCTGGGATCCGGGTGCAGCGGCGGAGCAAGCCCGGGTTGATGCCATTGAGGTACTGGTAGCCAAAAAAGCTGTCCTCTGCCCAGTGCTCGGCCACGTACTCTAGCGGGACAGGGCGGGAGCGTCAGCACAGGAGCCGGCCCCCTCGGAATTAGAGACGCAGAGGCCTGAGTCTGGGGGCGGAGAACGACAACGGGCGCCCCAGAACCCGAAAGAAAGGCCAGCCCCCTTCCACCCACCACCCCCAAATCCCCCCCAGCCTCCCCCCACCCCCAGCGGCTGGTCCCCAGGGGTGCCGAGGCCCAGGGCACGTTTCCCCGGGAGCCCGCCAGGGGGCACCGCGCCTGAGCGCGAGTCCTGCGGGGCCGCGGCTCGGGCGTCCGTCTGTCTGGGCGTCCTCCCGCCAGCGGTCACCCGGCTCCCACACCTTCGATTAGGGGGACCCCCACCCCGTACCGGAGATGACCGTCTTAGTGGCAGGGAAAATTTTCTTAATGTCCTTCAGCCTCTTCCACGACTGCTTCTTGTCTATCAGGCCGCGCACTTTAAAGGCCAAGGACCTAGGGTGCGGGATTGCGGCGCTGGTGAGACTGTCCCGGGCCCCCGCGCGCCCCACCAGGCCCCACCAGGTCCTCCAGGGGCTGCCCGGCTTTCTAGTCCTCTCCTCTGGCTGTCGCCTCCTAAGCCTGTATTTCTAGCATCCCCAAGTTTCCCGGCCGTTTCCACCTCGGCATCTCCCGCCCCCACCCCACCCCCACCCCCACCCTGCTCCCCGGCTCCCATCACCCACATGGGCCCCAGCCGGAAGAAGAACGAGGCTGTCTTGATGAAGGAGAAGCGGAGGTTCGAGTTCAGGAACTTGGTGGCCTTAATGTTGATGAGAATCGGAAACCCCGGGATGTAGCCGTTCCACCTGTGGGAGGGAGTGCAGGGCTGGGCATCTGTGCAGAGGGCGGCCGCGGGGCAGACCCCTGGTGTTGGCCATGGTAGGGTCCCCAGAGCAGCCGCGTCCTTACTCAGGCCGGTTGGGGTTTCTCCGGACTGGAGGCCGGTAACTCGGGATGTGCACATAGTTGGGTAGGCCAGGAACGAAGACCCTCCAGCTGCAGAGAGATGTTGAGACGATGAGTCCTGGTGTCCACCAGCCATCCAGGAGCCATCGCTAGCCCCTGACTGCCCGCAACCCTCATGTCCCTCCCTCACTGGTATAAGTCCTGCTTGGCTCTGATCTCCTCCTGACGATGCTCCTGAAGGATCGGGAGTGTGTCCTCTGCCGGCGTCTTTCCTGCAGGGAGACCAGAGGAACTTCAAGATCTGATGCCTGGTCCCCTACCTACCTGTCCTGACCCACACAGGGATCCAGATTCAGCCTCTGCCTACAACAGCAGCTCTGGGGGACCCACAGCCAAGGATGGGGATTGCTTACTCTGGTAGAGGGAGAGGGTGTCTTCTCCCATGATCAGATAAAAAGATCATGGGCCACCCTTGGCACCCTCACTCTATCTAAGGTGAGCACTACAACTCATGGGTTTCCCTGATATAGGCCCACCAGAAGCATTAATCACTAACAGGTGCTTAGCACTTAGGGATCAGATGCCTTCTAACCACTAGTAACCTTTATTTATTTATTTATTTATTTATTTTGACCTTTTGGGTCACACCCAGCAATGCTCAGGAATCACTCCTGGCAGTACTCGGGGAACCATATAGGATGCCGGGGATCAAACCCAGTTCGGCTGCAGGGCAGGTCAGTGCAGGGCAAACGTCCTCCCCGCTGTACTATCGCTCCAGCCCCAACACTAGTAACCTTTTTAGGACAATCTTATGAGGCCAGTGACTATTATTCAAACCCACAATCTGGTCTCCACATTTCCAAGAAACAAAAGCTATAGAAATGAATTGTTGGGGGCCACACCCAGCGATGCTCAGGGGTTCCTCCTGGTTCTGGGCCCACAAACTACTCCTGATGGTGCTCAGGGAAACATATAGGATGCTGGGGATAGAACCCAGATCAGCTGTGTGCAAGGCAAGCACCTTACCAACTGTATCATCTCTTCAGCCCCAGAAATCAAGTTTTGTGTGTTATTTTTTAACAAGGTATGCAAAATTCCTTGGTTGGCAAAACCTGCTCTAGGGGCCAAAGAGATGGCTTAGAGGGTAAGGTACTTGCCTTGCACATGACTGATCCAGGTTTGATAGCTAGCTAGAAGTTTCCCCCAAATCCCTCCAGAAGTGATCCCTGAGTACAGAGCCATCAGTAAGCCCTGAGCACAGCCAGGTATATATATGGGGGTTAGGAGGACAGCTGTTCTCAATTTAATGTAGTAAATCCAGTCTTCACTAGGTATAACTAATCATAGTTTTTGCTACAGAAGCATTAATATATTTAATTCAGGGGTACCTTAGTAGTATATCAAATAATATATGTTGCGTGCATATAGAGAAAATACAGATATCTAAAGATACACATGCGTGTACCAACACATTATACAGCTACCTATGTACACACCGACATGCCGGCATGTATTCACATATATCTGTTGAAGCAATCAAAAGGACATTACTACTGGTTGATCCATTACTTAGGAAATCAGAGGTTCCCACCACCTTCCAAATCCTTGGAATGTCCACACTGTCCACCTGTAACCTTGAGAGAATGCTTTGTTGTTAAGACCATCTAACTTCCCCCAGTTACAGCCTCTATTTCAACTTGATATTCTGGTGGTGTGAACTTTTATTATGCCAAGGCCACCCAGGACCAGTCTTATAAGTAATTTCTCTTGCTTCCTAAAGCACAGCCCTACAAATCTGGAATGCTCTGTCCCTTTTCTTGGTCTCTCTCCTTCCCTTCTGTGTAACGGGGACCAATTCATGAACCAGTGATTTTATATACATACATACATACATACATACATACACACATGTGTATATGAATATTTCTACATATACATTTCATTTACACAAACATGTATGTGCATCTTCTAAATAAAATCTGAATTTTGAAGGCCTATGGCCTTACAGTTTCAGCTAAAAGACTCTATCCTCTCACTCGTCTTATAAGGAGAAGCAGTGGTCTGAACCCAGGCAGTCTGTTTCTGTCCACTCATCCAGCATCTGCCAAAAGTTAAACCTTTTAAAAATGTCTCAGAGATGGGGCCAGAGAAACAGGACACTTGCCTTACATGCAGCCGACCTAGGTTCAATCCTCAGCATCCCAAGGTCCCCTAAGCATGGAGAGCATCACTGGGTGTAGCCCAAGAAAAATATATATAAATAAATAAAATTTCTCAAAGAGAAGCTAGAGTGATAATACAGTGAGTAGGGTGTTTGCCTTGCACACGGCCGACCCGGGTTCAATTCCCAGCACCTCATATGGTCCCCTGAGCACTGCCAGGAGTAATTCCTGAGTGCAAAGCCAGAAGTAACCCCTGAGCATCGCCAGGTGTGACCCAAAATGAAAAAAAAAAATTTCTCAGAGAGAGTATCTTGTTGGACTTTTCATAAGCTCTATGAAGTAGTTCGTGTTTATAAATGAGAATGCTGAGGCTTGGGAGAATGTTTGTTGGGTGATGGGGTGATATGACTCTGTGCTCAAGAGTTACCATCTCTATATCATTTCATACCACAGAGACTGGCCACATTCAAAAGAACAAAAGCAACCATTGTTGATGTGGATGTGGCGAGAAAGGGACACTCCTTCACTGCTGGTGGGAATGCCTACTGGTTCAGCCCTTTTGGAAAACAGTATGGACAATTCTCAAAAGATTAGAAATTGAGCTCCCATTTGACCCAGCAATACCACTCCTGGGAATATATCCCAGAGAGGCAAAAAAGTATAGTCGGAGTGACATCTGCACTTGTTTGTTCATTGCAGCACTGTTTACAATAGCTAGAATCTGGAAAAAACCTGAGTGCCCGAGAACAGATGACTGGTTAAAGAAACTTTGGTACATTTACACAATGGAGTACTATGTAGCTGTTATAAAAGACAAAGTCATGAAATTTACATACAAGTGGTACTACATGGAAAGTATCATGCTAAGCGAAATGAGTCAGAAAGAAAGGGACAGACATAGAAAGATTGCATTCATCTGGGGAACATAAAGTAACAAAATAGGAGACTAACACCCAAGAATAGCTGAGATAAGTACCAGGAGGTTTACTCCATGGCTTGGAGGCCAGCCGCACATGCTAGGGGGAAAAGGCAGCTCAGATAGAGAAGGGAGCACCAAATAAAGAGTGTTGGGAGGATCCTCCCAGCATGGGAGATGCATGCTGAAAGTAGACTATAGAGCGAACACGATTGCCACTCAATGCTTTTTTTGCAAACCACAGCACCCAAAAGGAGAGAGAACAAAAGGGAATGCCCTGCCACAGAGGCAGGGTGGGATGGGGGGATGGGGGTGGGAGGGATACTGGAATCCATGGTGGTGGAAAATGGACACTGGTGGAGGGATGAGTATTTGATCATTGTATAATAGAAACCCAAGCACAAAAATTTGTAAGTCTACAACTGTACCTCATGGTGTTTCACTAATAAAATTTTTTTTTAAAAAAAGTGTTATCAGGGGCTGGAGATATAGTACAGTGGTTAGAGTGGGAAAAAAAAAGAGTTACCATCTCTAGTGGTGCTCAGGGGCCCATATGTAGTGCCAGGGATTTGACCCAGGGCAGGCAAGCACCTTAGCCCCTGTACCATCTCTCTGGCCCTCTTGGAAGCATGTGGAACTATAACCTGATGTTCTGCTGAGATCAAAATTCAGGTCTCTTGGGGGCCAGAGACATAAGGCACTAGCCTTGCACCTGGTCAACCCTGGTTCAGTTCCTGAAACTACTACATACAGTCCCCCAGAACTCCATCAGAAGCAATCTCTGAGCACAGAGTCAGGAGTAAGACCTGAGTACAGCTGGGTGTGACCCAATCACAAAAACAAAATAAATACCCCAGGCCTTTCTCTAGTGTCCTGGGGGCCAGTCCTGTTGGACATGCACCCAACTGCTGAAGTGCCACTGTTTTCCTCCCAGGCACCCTTCACCAAATCCCTCCCCTTCAATTGCCTCAACTCCTACCCTCCAGGCGAATTCTGCTTCTAGGCTCCAGGGGCCCCAGTGCCCCAGCCCCCCAGTTCATCCCCAGGGTGGAGATGTTCACTCCTTAAAGGTCCAGCTAGTGACTCAAGTCTCCCTGCCCTAGTATTGTGTGGCAGCTGCCCCACCCAACCTCATTTCTGCCGGGACACCTTATGTCACCTTTCCTGTCACCTGTTTCCATGCCACTCAGACCTACAACCATGGAAAGAAACTTCCCCAAGGAGACGCTCCCAGGTCCCCACCAGGCCTGCCTCCCTCCACCTGTGCTTCCCTTCCCCAGCTCAGGTCCTGTCCCTACTTTCGGGAAAGGCCTTTGCTGCATGGAAATGAGGGACAGAGAGAGGTGGTCATCCATGAGGAGGAAGGGGACACCAGGCCCTCTCAGCTTTTCCTCCTCTCCTTTCCTTGAGGCAAATAACAGAGGCTCAGAAGATGTAGTCAGGGAAAATTAGGAAAGGAAGGCCAGAGAGATACTTAAAGCACTTGCTTTGCAAGCAACCACCCCAGGTTCAACCCCCAGCATCTTATATGGTGCCCGAAGCACCGCCAGGAGTGATTCCTGAGATAAGGGCCAGGAGTAAACCCTGAGCACAGTCAGGTATGGCCCATAAGTCAAAAAAAGGAAACAAAAACAAAAACCACTGGACAGCCTTCCAGTGTCCAGACCGTTGTCATGTAGTACAAAGCTGACCCAGGCCTCCGACCAGGAGTGTGGCCAAGAGGGTGTCTGACGTGTGGGTTCTTCCTCTCTCATCAGAGCCACCAAGGGCCAGCGAAAGGCAGCTCTGGCAGTCCCTGGCAGGCCCAACAGACTGTGTGTCTGTGTGGTAATGGGGCGTCCTACTTGAGTATCATGAAACCTAACTGAGAGTGGGGGCAGGGGAAGGGTACATCTTTTAAAGTAGCAGTATATACTATTAGAGGAGTGAAGTGTTCTGGGCCGGAGAGAATTATAGTGGGTAGGGTGCTTGCCTTGCACGAGGTCGACCTGGGTTTGATCCCTGGCACCCCATACGGTCCTCAGAGCACCACCAGGAGCAATTCCTGAGTGGAGTAACCCCTGAGCATTGACAAGTGTGGCCCAAATCCCTCCTTGAAAAAAAGGGAAATGAGGTGTCCTTGTGGGGGTGTCAGGGGCCCTGTAGAACAATGGGACACCCCTTCAACCTGAAGAACACTCATTTGGAAACCAGGGCATCCAGAGAACATGAATGCCACCCAGAACTGCTGTGTAGGCAGAGTGAGAGAACAAGGCAGCAGCAGTGGGAGTAGGGGACAGCGGTGGGCAGCCCATTGGAGCCACGGGCAGGCCACGGAAACCACCCTGCCAACACAGCAGCCTGTCTCTCTGGAGTAACAGCGAATGCTGTGGCATCAATGGTGCATCCTATCAGAGCTAATTCAGAAACAAAGGGTCTCTGTAGAGGGGTTGGGCATCCTGTAGGAGTGAGGGGGGCTGCGGGCAGCTTGTCTGCCGCAGGAGCCCGGATCCTCCCCTTGGTAGTCCTCTCTGTTCCCCAATGTGCATCCCCAAACTGGGCAGTGACTGAGCAAAGTGTCCAAGTGTCGGGAACTCCTGAGAGTCCCTGTGGGTTGGGATCCTGAAGTGGCCCTACCAGGAAGGCAGGACAGGAGTGCAGGGACTAATGACTAGGTAGGGGCTTGCCTGTGGCCTCCCGGAGTGCCAGCGTCTCATAGCCGTCCATCCACTGGTAGGCGGGAAAGTGGTAGATGCGGCCATTGGGTGCACAGATCTGCACGTAGTTGCAGTACCACGAGTTCTTGGGAAAGAAGGAGTAGCGCTCCTTGTGCAGGCGGATGATGATGAGCTCCCCCAGATCCTGCTGGCACTGGACGGTGTACTCATCCACCTAGACAGGGCACGGGGCCAGCTGAGCAGGCAGGACTTGCTACCGGCTCCCCCCCGCCTCCCACCAGCCCTGGTCTCTCTCCCAGCCCTTCCTTAGGTTGGGAGATGTTCCCCCCACACACACATATACACCACCAGCAGCTCCAGGGGCAGAACAGGAGCCCAATGTCTCCCACTCTCATTCCTGGCTCCTAAGGTCCCATCCTCTCCTTCCCCAGTAAGCTGAGGCTGCAGCGGCCATGCAGGCCCTCATAGACAAAGGGCCTCCCATACCTCTGGGACATGTGGCACAGCCCTTTTCCTGCCTTGTGTCCAGAGAGATGAATAGATAGAGTAACCTATTAAGGTTGCACAGAAGTTGGTGACTGTGTCTGAGGCACGGCATCTGAGGATACAGACCCTGTCTTGCCTCACAGGACACAAAAGTCCTCCCTGGGTAGACTTGGACTGGTACTGTTTTAAGTAAGAGAATTCACCACGTATTTAAGATCGTTCCAATTGCAAGAATGAGTAAGTATGGAAGAGGATTGAAGGATATCAGAGAGAGGGAAGAAAGGGAAGAGAGGAAGTGACAAAAGAACAGAAGAGACTGGTGGGAAAGGGACAAGAAAGGAACAAAGTAAGGAGTTGGGAATTGAGGAATGGGGTGAGTGATGACAATGGATGAGGGAGAAAGAATGAAGTGAGATGAAGAGGGTGGGAGAGTTGATAAAGAAAGAAAAGGGATGCGAGTCACAAACCCGGGAGGAAGAAAGATGGGGGGAGAAGGTTAGGGGGCAGGAGTAGGGGTACCCAGAATCGCCCTAGGAGCCTCGCTGCTCTCAGCCCCTTTCGGATCGCCCACCCTCCCCTGCTCCCCCCTCCGCACACACTTACACGTGAGCATGCACATACTCACACACATACAGTTTGCGTATGTACCACAGATACATCTGCCATGAGCCCAAGCATGCCATAAACATAATACACACATATGCATGTACCATTCACACCCCTACACAATATTCACACACCCCACACAAATACACAACTTACACATGCATGCACACATACACACACACTACGTGCTGGGTGCACAAGCGTACACACAAGCGCACACACACGCACACGCACACTTACCGCCCCAGTGGCAAAGTCCCTTCCAAAGTGGTTAAGCAGTTGCTTGTGGCTCTGTCCTTGGGTGCCCACGATGGTCAGTGAGATGGAGTCCATCGTTCCTGACATGAAGTCGGTACCTGTGGCCACCTTGACTTTGTAGGTGGCCATGGCTGCTCTTCAGAAGGAAGATGAGAGGACTCAATCGCCCAAACCGGGGAGGGCCGCGCAGAGGCCCCGGCCAGGCAGAAGAAACCAGCCACAGCGGGAGTGGAAGGGCCGGCCTCCGAGCTGGAGAGGCCCGACGCGGTGAGTGGCCCCGCGGGGCGGCAGGGCCGGTGGCTGCTGTGCCGGAGAGGCCTGGCGGGCAGGCGGGGCAGCGGCGAGCGCGGAGAGAGCTGGCGGCGGGCGCAGGCGGGCGCGCCTCTGACTGGGCGGGTGGCTGAAGGAGCCTGCAGGGTGGGGAAGCCAGTCCGGCCTGAGCCAGGGCCCCAGGGAAGTTGGGGGAGGGGGCCCAGGGCAGGGCCCCAGATCTTTATCAGCCTAATAAACTCCTTCCTTCTGCCCGCCCCCATGGGCTGCAGTGCCAGCACCCCTACTATGCAGGCCCGTGGCAGCAGCTTCCCTGCTCTTCTGGGGCGCCAGTCGCAGGGGACCCGGCCGGCTGGCCACTGCCATATTTCCCTGGGACACAGGACTGGGCAGGGCCGCAGCAGGAAGGAGCCACCCTATGGTTCTGACCCAGGGTCCAGAGCCCCTGCCGGGAGGAACAAACGCTGGTGCTGGATGTCTCAGGGACCCTGGGAAGCAGGGGCTGCAGGGAGAGGGCAGGGAACATCTCCTGCCTGCCTCTGGGACCCCAAGAAGGATTAGGGCTGATCATGGAAGTAGATGACTGTTGTGGTGCCTATAAACAAAGATCAAGAATGGCTGGGTAATTTGTGGATTAATTATGACATTGAATTTTGCTCAGCAATTAAAAAACCAAAAAAGAACAAACGATGAGTAATTGAGTCTTACAACAATTACATTGAGTGAAAGAAGCCAGACATAGCCACCCCCATGCCCTATCACTCCACGAAGGCAAAACTCAGAATAGGCAAAGCAATAAAGTCTATAAAGAGCTGGAAGTCTTCTTAAAACAGTCTAGTGAGCATCTCAGGAGCGGGGGTACAGGCTGAGCTCTTGCAAGGGGTCCCTTGTTGTGAGCTACCAGTGTTCTATGTCTTCTACCTAGGGCTTTGTATACCTTGGGCTGTACGTTCTTCCTCAATTTTATAAAGTACTCACCCTCACCGGAAAAGAGGAAAAAAAGAAAAAGAAACCGAAAGAATGAAGGTGGGAAGAGCACAGCTGGAGTCAGGGTTGGGCTCCATTGGAACTGGGTTTGTCAGGAGTCACTCATTTCATTTCATCAGCATATGTTTATGGGACCGGCTAATGGAACATGTGTGCTGTTCCGGACACTGTCCCGGACACTGTATGTGCAAAAAAAGAAAATATACACAGGGCTGAGAGGACAAGAAACGATATGTAAGAATTTGTTTACTATTGTGCTGGATATTAAATAGTAGAGTGGGGAACCGGAGTGCGGGTGCAGCAGGTAGGGCACTTGCCTTGCACGTGGCCAACCCAGGTTTGAACCCCCACATTCCATATGGTCCCCCAAACACTGCCAGGAGTAATTCCTGAGTTCATAGCTCAGAATAACCCCTAGGTATTACCGTGTGTGCCTCCCTCCCCCCAAAATATAGAGTGGGAAAGGGGTGAGGATCAGGATCTAGTTTCTAAGTAGATTCACAAAAGTCACAGTCTTGAGGACAGAGGTGTGACCAAGCCCCAGAACTAGGCTGAGTTTAAGGCGATGTTAGGACTCAACTCAGATTAGGGGAGAGGGTCAGAGCACTGCTCTCAGGAGCAGGGAGAGTGAGAGAGAGTTGTGTTCGCTCCCCTTCTCCTGAGCCTGCCCTCTCCCTGCCTGCCTCCCAAGGGCACCTCCTGTCAACCAGGAAGCACCAGTCCAGGTTTCTTCCCTAGTGGCATCTTTCTGTCACCACAGAGGTAAGGTCACAAGTGCCCAGGGCCAAGTCAGAGGCAGAGGGGGCAGGTTCTCTATGTTGGAAAAAGGTTTCCAGGAAATAAGAGAATAAGTAACAAATAGGGATGAGGTGCGATTTGAGTTGAAATTCAGGATAGGGTTGAAGTTAGGGCGTGAAATGATTTTTCAAGATCTTAAGTCTATGATCTCCCCTCACCTCCAATCTTTGACCAAGCCTGATAGGGATCCTCCTTGCCTTTGGGACAATGACATTGTCCTTCCCTGGAGACCCCAGGATGATGCCTGCTTCATCCCTGAACACATTGCCCTTTGCTTACTTGTCTGGTAAAGGTTGTCTTTTGTCCCTAGATGGTAACTGAGCCCCTATTGTGATAGGCCCTAAGAATATAATGCAGCCAAGGTGGCCGCCACCTCAGATCTTATAGGAAAGCCAGGTATGAGCCGGCGGTGACGGGGCAACTGCAGTCTCATGGGAAGGGGGGCGGTACCAGCTCGTTCTTCACGCCCTATTGAGGTCACAAGTTGCCCCCCATGAGCGGCTATCTGGCACAGCCATAACACTAGACGCACCGAAACCAATCTCCTAATTATCTGGCTCTTTGCAGAAATCCAAAATCGCAAGGCCGCTATTGCAGCCACGTGAGATTATATGATTCTCATAACCAGCTATAGAAAAAAAAGTATTTCACAATGCCTTTTCAGCAATTCTGATTGTTGGGGGGGGGGGAATTCTAAACAATAATGGTGCATCTTTTGTCAAAATAATGAATGTAATCAATGTAGACAAGAGTTAAGTGTGGAAATCATCTGCCTCACAGGCATTGGGAGAAGTGGGAAGGGGGTATAATTGGGGTTCTTGGTGGTTAAAAATGAGTACTGGTGAAGGGAGAGGTGCTTGATCATTGTATGACCGAGACTTAAACCTGAAAGCTTAGTAACTTTTCCCACAGTGATTCAATAAATAAATATAAGAAGAAAAATAAATAAATAAAATTATGAAAAAAAAAGTAAGGTGGAGTTCATGCCCAATTCAATCAGCTAATCAGGGGCTGAATAAATAGCAGTACTCCTACATAAAAAAAAATAATATAATGCAGCCACATGACCCCCCTGCCTTATGTTCTTGGGGAAACGTGGCTTCACCCGATAACCAAGAAAACTAAAAGGTAGTGCTGGCTGAAGGGGGAAAATAGCACAGAGAAAGATAATGTAAGACATGGGGTCTGGGTTTGAATCCTGTATCCTAAAAAAATAAGGTAGCACTTGTTCATCAGTTTGCTTGAGCGAGCACCAGTAATGTCTCCATTGTGAGACTTGTTACTGGTTTGTTTGGGTTTTTTTTTTTTTTTTTTTTTTTTTTGCTTTTTGGGTCACACCCGGCCATGCACAGGGGTTACTCCTGGCTCATGCACTCAGGAATTGCTGCTGGTGGTGCTCGGGGGACCATATGGGATGCTGGGAATCGAACCTGTGTTGGCCATGTTGGCTGCGTGCAAGGCAAACGCCTTACTCGCTGTGCTATTGCTCCAGCCTGAGACTTGTTACTGTTTTGGGCATATCGAATACACCACGGGGAGCTTGCCAGGCTCTGCCGTGCAGACGGGATACTCTCAATATTTTGCCAGGATCTTTGAGAGAGACGGAGGAATGGAACCCATTCCATTCCATTGCCCGGCCGCGTGCAAGGCAAACACCCTACCCACTGTGCTATCGCTCCTATACTAAATAAAGTATAGGAGAGAAAACTTTTGATATGGGGGAATCTGGGAAGAGCATATTAAGAAGAGGACTTCTGAGGAAAGACATGAAAGAAGGGAGATCAGCTCTTTCTAACCACAGGAACTTTGCAAAAGCTGTTTCCTCTTGGGCCTGTTTAATGGATGTTTTCTCTTCCTTCTAATCTTAGTTTGATAATTGCTTTACCAAAGAAGACAAACTTAGGGAAATTTAATAGGTTGTATGGCACGAAAGCTAACATCTTCATTCATGTCCATCTTTCCCTCTACATGAGACTGTCTGTAATTTGGTTTGGTTTTCTCCCCACTTCCGGGCATAACACCCAGTACCTTGGAGACTGGAAGCATAGGGGGTCCTAGCCGTGTTCACTCCCAGCAATACTCAGTCTGAGGCTAGAGTCAGAGATGAAATACTGACCAGGCCCAGTGGTACTGTGGGTCATCAGGGTCACCCTGGAAGTGCTCAGAGTGCAGTGGGGCAATGGAGGGGTGGGGGGAATGAGCAGGGAGCCCTTTCATGACAGGAATCAAACTTGGGATCTCATGTTTGATCCTTTGAGCTGTCTCTCCAGACTTGGAAACATGATTTGGGGTGGGGGGGGTCGGAGGGGGGAAGGGCCACACCAGTGGTGCTCAGGTCTTACTCCTGGTTCTGCTCTCAGTGATCACTCTTGGCAGGGCTCAGGGGACCCTATGGGGTTCCAGAGATCAAGCCCAGGTAGCCTGCTTTTAAGGCAAATGCCCTAGCCCACTTTACTGTCTCTCCAGCCCCAATGTGATGTTTAATGGTTCCGTGGGTTGTGATGGAAGTACGTCAGGGCTTGGAACTGAATCAGTGGGGAGGAAGCAAAGTGAAGATGCAGAGAGGAGTGTTAGACGGGAGTTAGACTGGGCAAGCTAAAGGACAGGGAGTGATGTGGGGAGGGTAGTGGGTTAAAGGGGCAGAGCCTGATTGGGTAGAAGGCTGAGGAGGCCCATACTGGTGAGAGGCAGGCAGGAGCTGTCAGGCAGGTCAGGCCCGCCTTCCAGGGGCGCTGCCCAGATGACTCTTGGGGAATGCTAAGAGCCCATAGATGCAAATTTGCATTTTAAGATGCAAATTTTTTGCTCACTCTCTCAGCCTCCTGACAGCCAGCCACGTCCACTTCCTTGACAGTGTGCCCTCAGGGGGGCTAGTAAGGCAGTTCAGGTCCTTGTTTGAGTGGAAGCTCAGGGGCTTGGGGACCCCTCCAGGCCCCTCTAGACACCGTGTCCCAGACCTTGAGAGTGAGGGACCCACCTCAATCTTCTAATACATTATAAAACAACTGAGGGTTTGCGGGAGACTCAGCACACCAAGAAAGGAGTTGAGAGTATAGACTAGCTTGGTTTTCACC